CAGCACTAAATATAATACAATGAAAGGGTAAGCAGAGTAATTTTATTTTAGAAACACTTTTGCTAACAACAATTCTGTGATTTCAGGGTTTATTTCACTTGTATTTAAAGTACTGAGTGAAAGTTAAAAAGAAGACAAAATGAAAAAAGTGTATTTTGCCACAGCGTATTATACATGTGTTGTGTAGTTGGGCCATTTGCAGGCAGAGAAGTAATTAAAAAAAACTAGACTGGCTTGCAAAGGGTTTTCATTTTTGTGCTTGTTCATCAACGTGCTGCTGTGTTTGCTTAGCAGCCACCAAGCAGAGTTCACTTGTGGTGTAAGTAAACATGTGAGCACTAGTTCTGGAGCAGCAGTTATCATTAGAGCTACAAAACACACAGACGGTTTCCAAGATGGCAATATCAGCTTACAGCTTGTTCTCATTACAGGGCTTCTCTTACAGATCTGCCACGAGCTTACGGGGTAAACATGTTTACTGCATGTTTTTTCTCAGAGGCCTCCTGGCAGCCTATTTCAGGGTAAAACAAAACACCCTTGTGTGATTTGTTTTGATAAGATGTGTTATGTTTTAGCTCTGAAGGGAAATAGCAGATAAATTAATTTCCTTTTGACGGACTGCCTCGTACACTCACCAAATCCACCTAATTAATCAGTTCATGTTTTTCCCCTTATTGCACCTGTTAACCTGTGCTCAGCATATTGGTGGGAAGCCTTCATTAATGTCTTTCCTGTGAGCAGACAGCGAAAACAGTGATTTAGAGATTCACATGCTCAGACATCAATAAGTGCACTCTCAGGGGGGAAATGCCTTACGCGCTACATTTAGAAAAGCCATTTCCTTCCTTGGCTAAGAGCCAAGAAGCCTTTATCGGTGATTAAAGTCCCAGCCTTTTAGAGACCCAACAAGCTTTATGGGCAAATCATGGGCAGGAAAACAGTTTATTCATGCCAAAAAGCAACAATATAACCTCCTAAGGGAGGAAATGCTGTTTTATCAACGGCAAATGTCCTGATTTCTAAGTAATATCCCTTGTGGTGCTCTAGTAGCAAAGAGGAAAAACACTTGTTGACCCCTACATAGACCACTCAATTCCTAGAAGTAGTACCTCCCACAGCTGGTGCTTCAGTATAGCTGGAAAGTGAGAGGAGTTATTTTTGGCTATGTGTGCTCTCAAAAGAAATGTACTATTTGTTCCAGTGCTGTAGCTTGACCCAGATGAGCATATAAGGGGCCAAATGGAACAAGAAAGGAGGAAAGAAAGAGCATAAACACCCCTTAATCTGTGACAGAGCTATTGTAAAAGTTTTGTTACCTTAGGTGAAAAAAACAACAACCTTGAAACTTGAAACAGATAATGTTGACTTTTATTGTGAAACAAGAACAAAACAGTTAAAGCCGACTGATTGTTGACTATTTTTTTACCTCTTTAAAATCCTCTAACTTTTTCCTCTGCTTTCATCATCATTACTTTGAAAGCCAGTTACATTTCTTAATTATTTCATTTATGTTTAACCGTTTCATTTTCAAAATGCTAGCGGAAATGCCAGATTGAGTGTGGTATTTTATGCCTCACTGGTTGCCTCAGATGTTACAGCCCTTTCTCATCTCCAGGGCATCAATTAGTGCCCCTTTGTCAAAACTACTGGTATGGCAGATGAAAAAAGGCACAAGTTGTCCTTTTGCATCTTGCCCTGATGCACCATGTTAAGGATTAATTGAGCCCAATTGGTCCCTCCCAACTCATTATTTCACAACAAACAGGGCCATTGTTGTGAAAGGGTGTGTTTAAATCCGAACCAGTCCTCTCCTAATCCTATCCATGGAGATTTTACCTAAACTCAGCACTAGTTTTCAGTGCCAAATCTAACCAGTGAGTGGAATTAAAAGTAAAAAAAAAAGTAAAAAAAAAAAAAAATCATTAAAAGTTTAATAAACTATCATATTGTCTTCATTTTTAGTTAGCACATACCTTAAACACTTCAAGCTGTAAGCTAATGATAGTTATATAAGAGCAGATGCATGCTGGTGCAATAAGCTGTACGCTTTACGTCCAGTGGATGCATGATCTGATTGAAAATTTGCGATAACGATATAACTGACGATATAATTGACACTAGACAAAATACTTTACAACACCACAATTTTATTAGTGCAAAAAATAAAAAAATAAATCAATGTGTTTTCACTTAAACAAGCAGCTGTTTTTTATGTGCATTAAAGTTATATAAAAATTTAACAGTGCAAATGCAAATTCCTTGCTGACAGTTTAACCAAAAGGCATTCCCAGTGGAATTTGGCCGACATATCCTCAGCATAACCATGTATAATATCCACAAAACTTATAAAGAGGTTATACACACACAATACGGTAATATTATGTTGAAGCACAGTACGTATCACTCCGCGAGGCTCCTGCCCACGGTAGCCGTAATGCTCCGACAATCCGCGGTGCGGCTTCGTAGCTTAGCAAAGTCATACTAAAACATTTGACAGATTTTCGAGCGCCGTGTACGACATAAAATCGTTTCGAGGTCAGTAAACACAACCAGAATTCATACATAAGGCCCATTGGATTAAAAGGGGCACTGTCGATTTTCAGAAAAATCAAAGGATTGATTTTAAGTGTGCCGTATTTTCCAAAAAACACGGTAATAACGACGGCCCGCTAGCATGCTCTACCAAAAATAGTGCTTTGTTGTGTATCTGACGGACGAAAGCTAAACCAGTTCCACACCACTGAAGTTGCAGCATTTTTACAAACCACTTCTGGTTCATCCCTTTCATTCAACAATCCGCTTTCGCCCTTCTCATTCTGCGTCGCTGCCGCCATACTCCGCCATGTATGTATGAAAACAAAGGCACTGCGCATGCACGTTTTACCCATATTCTATCGCGATATTTCATTTTCTTATCATTGCCCAACATTATACCGGTATTACCGTGAACGGTATGATATGGCCCAGCCCTACTGTACAGTACAGAATGCATTCAGCTTGTCAAATTTACATAATTCTTCGATCGCTAGCAGCGTGACTCTGAAGTGCTGTACTGTATGTTTGCAAGCTTTCTCCCCAACAAACACAACAATGTTGACGAAACGTTTTGCACCATCAAAGGTACTTGCGGTAGCACCCAAGAGGCAGAGGAAGAAGACCATCGCACAAAAAGTTAAAGCTAAAGGAAGGTAGAAGTTACCGTATTTTTCGGACCATAAGGCACACCAGATTATGAGGCGCATTAAGCGAAACAAAACAGTAGATAAGTCCAACTTTACTCAACTCATTTTTCTTGCTTCCTCTACTTCCGTACCATTGATTCATCAATGTTGAATTCTCTCGCAGCTGCTCTATTCCCATGTTCTGGACCTGAAAATAGGGTTTGATCTTTGGTTTCATTCTATAATGGTGGACATATTTTTCTATGAAGGTCTAAACTTTGAAAGTGTTTAAATAAGAGAGAAAAGTGTGAAAATGTTCATGCCTGTCTGAGAAACATGTATAAAGTGTGTAGTGGGGGATTTTACAGCCTTAAAACATCTATAATAATTGTAAAAAATAAAGCTGGCTATTTCGCAGATTTCACCTATCGCGGGTTATTTTTAAGAACGTAACTCCCGCAATAAACGAGGGACCACTGTAGTGCATAAACGTCACCAATGATCTGCTGAGTCAGCTACTGCAGAGCTAGAAATTCCTATGGATATAACATCAGCACAGAAACTGTGCAGTGGAAGCTTCATGGAATGGGTTTCCATGGCAGGGCAATTGCACGCAAGCATTACATCACAAAGCACAACACCAAATAGTGGCTATTATAGCTACAAAGAGGGTCCCAGTACCTTTGTCCATATAGTGTACATTTGCGTAAATACAATTTCAAGGCCTCTGGCTATATTTTGATAATGATTCAGCCTTTTTAAATTTATGTTGATTCTGAAAATTTTTCCACACACTAAAAAATTCCAGAGTAGATTCTCATATTACACAATTAGATCACGAAGTTTATGTTGATTCTGTAGATATTCCTCCCACTGGGCAAGCAGCCATTAACTATGGTGACACTAAACCAATAAGAATCCCTCCACAACATTTGAGATCACTGGAGTGAGTCAGAAATGTACAGGTCACTACAAGCTGGCTAGCGTGTTGCCAAATCTGTTTTTAAAAAGAACTCTTTTTACTTGTGACTTCACTGTTTTCAATCTACAAGTTGTCCTCAGTCTCATATTTTTTTTTCTAGAGCAGCAAACACTCCTGTCAAAACACAGCGGCCTTGTAAAATCCCACCTAAAGAGTACTGAGCACAAAGAGGATAATAGCAAACAGCAGGAGATCATGTTCTCTGTCCACACCTCTGCTAATTTACTGAGCATTATGTAACAAGACAAAGCACCGGATGTCCGTGTGTGACATAAATAGCCAGCACAGACATAGTTTATCACTGTGGATAAAACACAGCCTATGTGTCCACATACACAGCATTTCCACTTCCATTTGCAGAGTGTTTGGTAGAAAGCCAGGCCTCTACGAATTGAACAGCTTCCCATTGTTTAACAACAGCCGAGTGCTCTCTGTTCAGAATTCCTGGGAAGCCACTTCACTAGAAATCTGCTCTCTGCTCACCGAGGCTCTGTGTGAATGTGTTATGCAACCCACTTCATTTGAAGCCAAACCAGCTCAGTAAGTATGCAACTATTAGTATTTTACATTATACTAGGCTCAAAGTCTCCTGTGACCATTAAAAGCATCCTGATCTCTGGTAATAGTTCCCCAGTTATTATGATGATCCTCAATTTTTATTCCCACAAAACATTTCAACAGCATCTGAAAATCTGGCTAGTAGAAGGCACCAGATGTCATAGCAGTAGAGTTGCAAAACACAACCAAAGGCACGAATAAATGTCATTTAATGACTGTGTTTTCAAACCTGAGTCAGGTCTTCCACAGCTTTACAAACATGCATGCTGATTTATTGAAATAAATATTCAAAATCCTACCTGGTTCTGAGGCTGACTGCAGCACCGAAGCAGTGAGGATGTGAAGCACAAAGAGGAGCATGGTGAGAGTGGGAGCCATGGTGTGGAGCTGTGGAGGAGACATGTGGGTAATGTTAAGTTTCTCAGGGCAGTCCACCCAGCTGAACCACACAGCCGACGAAGGCCCAGCCCACTACCACCATTAAACCAGTACGCTCCCACCAGGGGCGTAACTAGATCTAAACCTCTGCTGAGGCAGTTATTTAAGGCAAAGAATTTTTTTTCCTGGTTTACTAAAATATTCTATACCAGCTTCCCATGCTGAACTTATTACTACTTCGACTACTGCCACACTGCTGCAGGTGCTATACATTAGTAACAATCTCTGTATGTTTATAGTTTCAGCTTGCTTATACGAAAATTGGATTAACTTTATTAAACTTTTGCACATTTGCATTCTTTTGCATTTTTTCTGCACAATAACTGATAAAAAAAATCCATGACTTGAGTAAAGATTCTAAAATAATATATAACAACCTAGTGCTTAATGCATGTAGAAGACCAGCTGTACTGAAAACAAGAAAGCACAAATATTATTTATCTCAGAAATCTCTGTCCTCCCCCTCTCTATCTTCCTCTCTCCTTCTCTGTGCCAAGGTAACAGTGAAACAGAATTTATAACAATAAAGTCATACCAATATTCTAAATCAATACGGGCTGCTGCTGGCCATGGACAGGTAACATTCTTTTCACTTGTTCATACCTGGATCTGTAACTGTCCTATACTGTAAACAAACACTGAAGGTTAAAATTGTCCTTCACGGTTTTTGATTGGTTGAGTGGTTGCTGGAAGCTGACAAGCATCCGCCAGCCGGTTAGGGAATACACATTTTCCCTAGCACCCAGTGGTTGCCGGGGGCTCGCTGTATGACTGAAGCCTTTGTTAAATACACGGCTCAATTCCCCCAAAATGGATTAAGCCTCATCCTAGACTAAACCTTTTTTCAATAGAGTTGTCTCAGATTTTTTTCCTTTTAGTCTTTTAGGTTTAATCCATGTTTGGGAAACTGGCTAGTAATTCAATTCAATTCAATTCAATTTTATTTATATAGCGCCAAATCACAACAAATGTCGCCTCAAGGCGC